GATGGTGGGGTGGGGAGGGCGATGAAGGGACAGAGGGTCTTAAGAGGAAGGGCAGGAGGGGAGGCATGCTGTGTGGTATGGGAGATGGAACACCCCTAAAACTCATATCCTGGCGAAATAGCCACATGGCAGCCGAAAACTGTATACCCTAGCTTGTGCAGTCTTTCAAAAAACTGGGACTTTTAAAAAATGCTGTGGGCCGCAGGACAAATTGTTAAAAATCGGGACTGTCCTGCCAAAAGCAGGACGTCTGGTCACCTTACCTGTGTGTTAGAGCTGAGAAAGGCTCAGAGGTGAGTTGCTGAAGCTGTGGATGGACCTGGGTATAGAAGCTCAGATAAGCTCCTGACCTTCCATTCCTGGTTGGATCCTGTTCTGGGCAATAAGCAGCATCTGGGTGGCAAAAGTGGCATACATTAGCCTGGACAAAAGCTCCCAATATTTGCTCGCCTTTGTGGTGGGGACAGGGTCTAATAGCTCATTTATTGGAGTGTTCCCGGGGGCTGAAGGAGCCCAGGGAGCCCAAGAACAAAAAGGGTTAGGGATAATGCCAAGGTGACATAGAATGTAGCCATCCCAGCCAAATCTCACCCTAAGTAATCACAGGACAACTTAGCTTAGCAAGCATGGTGAGGCCAACAGGGACCCTGCTTGCTATAGAGGTACTTTCCAGTGCCTACTTTAGGAACCTGTATCTATTTATATGACGTTCCTGGGTGGTGCAAGTGGTTCATTGCTCAGCTGCTGACCAGAAGTTTGGAGGTTTGAGTCTACCAAGAGGTACCTCAGAAGAAGAGTCTGGGGATCTGATTCAGCAAGATGACCTCATTGGAAATCCGTGGAGCACAGTTCTTCTCTGACACATGTCGGATCACCACGGTCAGAGCTGACCTCATCATAATGGGTCTGATTTGTGTTGGCATCTATTTGTGTGGGCACATTGGTGGTTCCATGGTGGAATTATCACTTTCCATGTGAGACTTAACTTAGATTCCCAACCAAGGCACCTCATACTTAGCTATCCAGTGGAGCTTCCAGAGTAGGAAGAAAGGCTTCCTAAAAACCAGCCAATGAAAACTCAATGGATCACAATGGTACAACGATAGGGATGGTGCAGGGTTGGGCAGCATTCTGTCCAATGTATGTAGGGTTAGGGCTAATTTAGTGATAACCATCACCAATAACACTCTATTTGTAGCAAATTCAATCTCTTCTCATGTACCTTAACACTGCAGCTTTCTTAGGAGCCCTTCAAAGATAGATATTTTTATGTGGAGTTCATTTGGACCCAGCTGCCATCCTCACCTACAAGCTATTCTGCAAAGCAAACCAGCCGTATGTTGAGGTGTAGGTGCAACCGATGCTGTTTGCAGGGCCAGGGCCTCTGTGAATGCAGGGGAGGGCTCTGAAACATCCCCTTTGGAAGGTATGCACTGGGGGAATTCCACTAACTGGTCCTGGTGCTTGGCACTGTTTTTGGAGAAATATTTCCATGTTCTTCATTTGCACAACTCCAAGTTTCCCTTGTGCAATTCTGCCCAGATGAATCCCTGGATGAGGGTTGGTGGTGTCTGACTGCTTTCCAGAATCTTTCCTGCATCTAGTTGGCAGTCACCAGAGGATAAACTTAAAGTATATTACAGTTAGGCATTAAAACCAAACCTGTTGACATCAGGTTAGCAACCCCAGGTCTTACTTACTAGTCCTTAGGGCAGGGGTCCTCAAACTTTTTAAACAGGGGGCCAGTTCACTGTCCCTCAGACCCGTTGGAGGGCCAGGCTATAGTTTATAAAAACCATGAACAAATTCCTGTGCACACTGCACACATCTTATTTTGAAGTAAAAAAAACAAACGGGGCAGAAACACCTGGCGGGCTGGATAAATGTCCTTGGTGGGCCGCATGTGACCCGTGA